CCCGGGGGGGGGTGCGGGGCCCGACCCCCCCCCCCGCCAGACGAGCAGTGCCCGGCCCCACACACTTGGGGGTCGTCGCATCTCTAAACCTCTCCGGGTCCTGGGAAGCGACGCGTGCTTCGCTGTTTTGCGGCGATCCCGCTCCTTGCCGGGCTGGAGGGGTACACGGGGTCGGTGTGCGCTTCTCTCCCAGCCGCAGGAAACGCGTTCTGTCAGGCGGCCAAGCTGCACATGCAGCTGCAGAGCAAACACGACTCGGCCACCAGCTTCGTGGACGCCGGGAACGCCTACAAAAAAGCAGACCCGCAAGGTAAGGGGGGGGGGCGAAATCCGGGATTGTTTCTTGCAAAGCTGCTTAGCGGCAGAGGAGGTGGCGCGCCGAGGCTTTCGGTAGTCACCGGCTCCGTGGGGCTGCGGATCCTCGCTGCAGGCTACTCGAAAGCCGTAATACCTCCCGCCCTTAGCCCCAGCCCCCCTCCCAGGGGCTTCCCCGGGGCAGAGGCGAGGCGGGAGGAGAGTGGACTGACCTTTGACGGGATGAGGACAAAGGAGCTGGATTCTTCAGATCTGGCCGCAAAGAGCAGGGCTGTGGTCGTCTGGAAGACCTCCGATTCCCCTTACCCTAGCTGAGCGTTTGGAAACAAACCAACCGGCCCACCAGTATTACTGACGCTTTCCTGCGCCAGCGGGCTGAAGAAACTAACCCGGGGCTGATCGTACTGTTTTATAATTGTAAAACACCCACATTTCCTAGGAAATGGCAGCCTCCGCATGCTTATGAGATCGGCGTTTTGAATTTTGCTCTGTTTGAGGATGCAGCCTTACAAACCCGGGGTACAAGTCGTTTGTATTTTGCCCGTCCTAATTTTGGACTGTTACCTTTCAGCGTCGGAGTTCTTGCCCGGGCGAGCCGGCAGGCTGTCGGTGGGGCGCGGGCTGTGCGGGGTGGGTGAATCAGGATTAGATCTTTGCGGATGCAAAAATGCAGGGGGGGTGTTACATCATTAGGTCTTAGGGGTTGAAAACGCTGTGTCGGTTGTTCCAGACGTACATACGTGTGCGAGTAGGTATTTACTGAAGAAGCTGGCGTGTGGTCTGATGAAGAGAAAGGTTACCGAGTGCTGGTTTTTGGAGGCGGGGGGGGGCAGGTCTTGGGCTGGGCAGTCTGACGTGCTGGCTGACTTTGTTGTTTTTCCTGACCACTCATGCTGCAGAGGCCATCAACTGCTTAAATGCAGCTATCTATATCTACACCGACATGGTAAGAAGCTGCACTGGCAGCTCCTGGACCGATGCGCTTGTAAGAGACGGTAAATGCTGTGTGCGCCGGGCCCTGGGGGGGGGGGGGCCCCCCGCCCAACGCGCAACCCTGCCCTTCCAAGA